CCCGCCGCAGGGGGGGGGGGGGGGGGGGGGGGGGTTTGTACGGTGCAGTGTGATTTGGGTGGTGGTTGTAAAGACTGCTGCTCCCGCGACCCGGTAACGGATAAGCGGATGAAAATGGATGGATGGATGGATGGATGGATGGAAAAAATAATAATTGTAAAAGTTTATAATATGTATGCTTGTGAAAACACAGATTAATGCATATTAACTTTTAATAGTTACCACTTCTGGAAGTTAGTTATAACTTTTTTTAAAAATCACACTTAAACCTTTGTGTAATTTTAGACTGCTAAAAACATACATTTTTTCCAGGCTAGTAAAAATATTTGAACCTGTACTGAATTATTGTCAAATAATTTTTATTGCACTATTTTGTTGCACCTACCTAAAAATGAGCCATTGCTAACTGTATTTTGTTTATCCTGTTTTTCCATGAGTGAGTCAAAGAACCACATATTGCTGTGATATTAACCTGGAACTGTATATGGAATAAACACAACTAATGTAGCTGTTTTACTTTAGGTTCTAACATTAACCAGACTGAAAACAACACAAGAACAAATCTGTAAAACTTTGCTATAGCAATAAGTTGTGGTCACCTGTAGGTCATCTCAGAAATAGTAACTTCACTACTGGTCTGCTTTTCTTCCTTTATTTCTTCTTCAGTTTTTGGTGACTGAGATCGAATATTTGTTGTTTCCATGAAAACATGGGGAGGCTGGAGGTTGTTGCTTAAAGATGGGTTTTCTCCTTCCATGCTCTGTAGCTCACATTCTGTGGGTGTGGCTGGAGGTTTGAGAGGAGACAGGGGAAGAGGTTCCTTCACAACAATGACACCTGGTGAAGAAATGACAGATGGAGACACTTAAATTGAAGTCTAGATTTATAAAGTCTAATTTGTAGACAGTGAAACGTAATCCTTTATTTTGCCTCGAAACTGATGTGAGTAAATAAATAAAAAGGTATTTCTGGGTAAGCAATGACTGGACATTTTAGAGCCTTTTTTTGGAAGTCTCTACCGTTTATTTCCAGCAGTTTTGTTGTCAATCAATGTATTTTCTGAAAACACTTTTTTTTTGCATCAGTTCAATAAGCTGTTCACATGATGGCGCTTTTATCCTGTTGTGTTTTATAGTATGTCATATAAAACTGTGGCGCATTGGAACAAAAGCCCTCAGTGACCTATTAAAACTGACCTATATTAAAACTGTGAATCTGTGGTGCTGACATGAGGGACCATCTCTAAACATCTACACAACGTTAACATAACGCAAATATATGCACTTATGCATGGTCATGGTCATGTCTTGTGTGTGTGTGTGTGTGTGTGTATGTGACTGATAAAAATAACAGAAGCTGTCTTCCTGCTGTAGTATAAGCTGGAGCTGGGACTAAATGTCTAGAAAGGGACGTATGACTGAGCTTGTCCACACTTCTTCTATCTAGTGATCAGAGACAAGTTCACACACTGAAACTTACACACACTCTTGGATTTGTCTGCACAAACACAAGTACAGTTACTAATGTAAATAATATAATATAATATATATATTGTATATATATATGTATATACTCCCACTGATTAACAAGCTTCTTGCAAAAACAAAAAACTCAACATGGATTTCTTCTTGTGATGCAAGTGTTGACAAACCTGTTCATTATCTTCACCTGGTACTACGTCACTGACACTATAACACCTGCAATGTAGGTGGCACCTGTTTTGATGCTATCTCATATTCAGGTTTCAAAGTCAATGGAAAAATCCTTGTATTATCAGCCTCTAAGAAAGAACATGATCATCTTCAAAGCAACTCTGTCTGAACGTGTGGCAGTTATTAAATCAAATTCTTGCGATGACTAGGTGTTCAGTTACAATCCTGCTGCAAACAAAGTTATGAATGATATTAAATCTAAACTAAAATATGATCAATTGTTGTACTGCTAAATAATTAATGTTTAAAGAAAAACCTCTCTCTCTCTCTCACACACACACACACACACACACTCACACACTGGCCTCTTGAGACGCAGGAAGTCTGGCCAACGACACTCAGCTTGCATCAGTCAATTGCCATAACAAACCAAGCATCACATTTCACATATTTGAACATTCTGGTTAAAATTGCAGGTTCATACCCTCACAGGTCCCTAAAATGTCAATTCTAATGACGCAAATTATAAATAAACCTGATAGCTAATCCTGAAAACCAAAGAAGAAGAAGAACCAGTTTTCGGAGAGGTGATATTTATCCTAAAAATATATGTAAAATGCAATAATAATATACATTAGGAGCTATGCAGATGCTCAGAACTTGATGATAAATAAGTGCAGAAGAAGATGATTTGAGGGAATAAATTTACATTACAATTTAACGAGGGGTTCAAATTACTTACATTCAAAATCAAAGAAAGCAAAACAATCATTTAAAAAGACTGCACTTAAGACATGGAAATTTCAATCTGCATGTAAAGAGAGAGAGCTACATGCTTTGTGTTTACAAACACTAACACAAAATACCAGCCTATTATACTACCAAGGGTTAAATCTTTCACCTTACTTTTTTCCAGTTCATTTTGTTGCGTTCCAGTACAGATTCCAGCAATACGGCCCTCGCGCCCAACCAGTTGTACATAAACATCCCGCGCTGTGTGATTGGCGATGCGTAGATGCAGGCTGCGTTGCGTTGTAATCTTCACCTGGCACCTTAAGGCCTCTGACATCACTACTGAAGATTCTTCTGCCTCTGCCGCCTGCCCTGGGTGAAAAACCTCAAGACTGCTGGAGTTTCCATTCTCCATCTTTTCACCCTTCCTGTGTCCATCCAGTCCATTATTATCTGTACTCTCTTGACTCCCACAGCTAAGAGTATGCACTACACCAGGTCGATCCCTACCTCCTAGCTCTGCGCTGCTTTTTATGAAGCCTCCACCAGCATCTCTGCTCTGACTAAAAAGCTCCATCTCCCAAATCTGATTGCAACCAACTGTCTCCTGCAGGACCTCCACACCCTTACTGACCAGGCTGCCAGCTGAGACCTGAGGCATGAACACACAAAGACAAATCCTCACATGCCTATGCATGTGCATACACATACACACACACACGCACACACACACACACACACACACACACACACAAGAAGATGATGAGGGATGTGGACCAGACCTACTCTCCACCACTGATGATGAACGGGCAGGGACAGCCTGGCCAAGAATGTCAGCAATTTAACAAAGAGTCAAGGGGCATTAGTGAAGGATCAGGTCCAAAGCTGTAGTTTCTATATTTAACGTGGTGGTCCTGGCTCCAGAGGGGCAGCTAATCTAACTCTGATTACACAGAGACATACATGCCAGGCCAAGGATGGAGCAGGGATCGCTTTCTTTTTCCTCCCTGCAACTCTGACTTTTATCTCTGACTGTCTCATCAAAAACATTCTATTAGCAAAGACCAGGTCCCATGTGCTGTATTAACCGATGTATGTAGTGAAGACAAAGCCACAAATGCAAGGCATGAATATTAAGTCATGTCTCTCTATGTGTGTGTGTATTTGTGCAGTACAAGGTGAAAAAGGTCAGAACAGACCCATGGTCAGTTTCCTGTAGCCTCTCCTATGGCAGAGATTAGAATATAGACAGTGATTCTAGAACATCTTGAGAACACTATCCAAACGTCCTTGTAGCCTTCTTGTCATACATGTCAGCATTGGACTGTTTGCCTTCATTTTGTCATCCAACCATTTTTGGTAAGCGGTATGTTACAAAAGGACACGCTATATGGTAATATATTTTCACAGTTCAAAAGTCATTCAGGATTAGATTAAATGTTGACTGTAAATCTGGTCTGGTGAACTGTCCAGAGTGGACACTGTCTTTACATGTTGACTGCTGGGATTGGCTCCAGCTAACACACTACTTTAAAAAGGTTGCAGCCGCAGAAGATGAATGAGTCCGACAAGATTGAGGAAGTCTGGGGAATCTTACAAAGGCGACAGGAAGGAACTGCTGCTGAATGTGCATGAACTACAACACTTTAAGAAGCACTGCATAGGAAACAGGCTCTATGACAGTTAATGGGAACATTTTGTTTGATCAGTAGTGTTTAATCATAAGTTTGGATCTTAGATCTTTTCTCTTGTTGAAATAAAGAGCAAAAATATTTTTTTTCATAATAAGACATAATTTTTTATATAACATTTTAATGTACATTAATTTAATTGGGGATGCACAACACAATATCGGTGCTTTGTGTACTTAATTAAACGGCTCACATTTTTACTAAATAACAAATACCATAACATATATTGCAGGGTATTTTTCAATTAAATCCTGTGTTTCTACTTAGTCAGTGTTACAGATGGCCCTTTCCCAAACTGAGACAGCTGATATGTTTGGAAATATTGTAGAAGTTCTTTGAACATGACAGAAGACAAAATTAAGTTTTTATTCAATTCATCTTGTCCAGTGAGGGATACACACAGGGACGAGAGAAGAAGAATGGGAAATGTGAGGGGGTTGGAGGAAGTGGCAGATGTAGCATACTACCATTAACATTTTAAAGAGAGTAATGAGGCAACAGTTGGCTGTGGTGCATGTGTGAAGGGCTAACCAGCAACAACGGGGTAAGTGTAGTGTGAGGAAAGGGATATATATATATAAATATATATACAGTATATATGTATACTATATACATATATATATATATATATATAT